GGAATGGAAAAGGGAGTGAATACTGTCTGCAAGTTACGAAAATCAATATATGGACTTGTGGTGCTTGGTATTGCTTTCAATCAGCGCACCCCTCGTGAGCGAACAGAGAGAAAAAGAAGAAGTGTCAGAGTTCTAAAACACGTGAGACAATAAAGAGCTCCTTGAGATTGTCGATTAAAAACAACAAGTTTTATTCGTTTTATTTATTCGCGGTCCGCGTTCGCGCCCCACATTGGTGTCGGGGTCGGGGAGAAGAACCGACTGGATAACGTTTCCATACATTTCTTCAACGAAAATGGCAAACCCGAACGAAAACGCTGGCGTCGCCGTAAAACTTCCGGACTTTTGGAAGAACGATCCTGACTTAGTGTCGAATCCGCCGGCGGAAAATAAGTACAGTGCGGTGAAGAATCGTTTGATCTCGCGTTTTCAAGTGTCTGCAGAAGGAAGGTTGGAACGTTTGCTGAGTTCCTGCGATTTGGGTGATATGCGGCCAACACATATGCTCGCAAAAATGCAAGAGCTGGCAGCAGGATTAAACGTAACCGATGAGCTCTTGAAAATGTTGTTTCTTCAGAGAATGCTCCCAAACGTTAAAGCCATTCTCACCATCAGTGACGGAACTATCGGTAAATTGGCGAAAATGGCCGACAAAATGTTGGAATCTTCGCTGTCCCACGTCGCAGCTGCGTCGATGCCCATTGGAAACAACGATATGGAAGAATTGCGAGGCCAAATCGCGGCTCTCACTACCGAAATTAAGCACATCAAGGCAAACCGCTCATCCCGTAGCCGTTCGACATCACGTTCGAGTCGAAATGCAAGCGATTTCGAAATATGTTGGTTTCATCGCAAATTCGGTGGTCGCGCTCTCAAGTGTCGAGACCCGTGCCAGTTTAGTAACCAAACAAACTAAACTCCCGTTCACCCGAATCGGCGGGGGTGGACGGAGCTCCGGAAAGTCGCCGTATTTGATATCCATGCTGCAAACGGTTCCAGAATTAAAGTTTACGACAAACGATTTCTCACGGTCGATCTTGGTCTACGTCGGAGATTCAATTGGCGCTTCTTGATTGGTGATGTAGGTGTTGCGATTATTGGAGCAGATTTTCTGGCGTCGTACGGAATCCTCGTCGATCTTAAACACCGACGGTTGATTGACGGACTTACTAAATTATCCTCTATTGGGGGTATAATAGACACAACTGTTCACACCATAACCGTGGTCGCCCTAGATCATCCTTTCCGAGAATTATTGACTGAATTTCGAGAAGTGACGTTGCCAACTACAATTAAAACAACGATCCAGCACGATGTCACCCACTACATTCAAACGAAAGGGCCTCCCATAGCAAGCAAGTGTCGTCGCCTCGCCCCAGACAAACTAGACGCTGCTAAGAAGGAGTTCCAGGTGATGAGTGAGCTGGGTATATGCCGTCCGTCTAGCAGCAGTTGGGCTAGTCCTCTCCATTGCGTCCCGAAAAAGAACGGTCAGTGGAGATTCGTCGGTGATTACCTTGAAGCACGGTAACACCAGGTAACTGTTCCAGATCGCTATCCCGTACCACATATCCACGACCTGTTGAATACGTTTCAGGGCAAAAGCATTTTCACCACACTGGATCTCGAAAGGGCGGACCATCAAATTCCCGTGGAAGAATCAGATATTCCGAAGACGGCCGTCATAACCCCGTTCGGGCTTTTCGAATTTACGAGGATGCAGTTCGGATTGTGCAACGCCAGCCAAACCTTCCAAAGATTTATGCATCAGGTGTTTGCCGATATGGATTTTGTGGTGGTGTTTGTAGACGACATCTGCATAGCTTCGTCGACGGAGGAGGAACATTATCAGCACGTACGAGCAGTGTTCGAACGACTCCGATCTTACGGACTTGTGATAAATGTTGCCAAGAGCCATTTTGCGGAACGAAGTGTGGAATTTCTTGGTTACCTGGTTAGCAAGGATGGAGTACGTCCACTTCCAAATCGCGTCGATGCCGTCGTCAAATTTCCACTTCCGACGACTGTCAAAGAGCTTCGAAGGTTTCTCGCACTGGTTAACAGTTATAAACGGTTTATTCATCATGCCACTGACATCCAGATCGAATTACGGAGACTTATCCCAGACAACAGAAAAATCGATTCCAGAAGCTATCATGGACAGAAACCGCCGAAAAAGCGTTCCAGGAATGTAAAACTTCGTTAGCGGACGCCACATTGCTGCATTTTCTCGATGCTACAAAACCGCTAAGTTTGCTCATCGACGCGTCGAACACAGCAGCAGGTGCGGTTCTCCAGCAGTTAGACGAAGGACGGTGGAAGCCATTGGGCTTTTACTCCGAAAAATTTTCGCCAGCGCAGCTCAAGTACTCAACGTTTGGTAGGGAGCTTACTGCGATGAAAATGTCCGTACAGTACTTTCGTCACCTACTTGAAGGAAGGAAATTCGTTATATTCACCGACCACAAGCCACTCACAACAGCGTTAACTTCAAGTCCAAATTCCAGATTGCCGCACGAAGAACGATATCTACAATATATATCCCAATTCACCAGCGATATCCGGCATATCAGCGGTGAATTGAATGTTGTTGCGGATGCACTGTCAAGAATCGAAGCAATCAACGTTCCTATGGCAATTGATTACGAAACGGTTGCCAAAGACCAACAGGCGGACGTCGAATTGAAGCATCTTCTATTAACATCAAGTTCACTGAAACTGAAACCTCGGAATACCCCCTGGCATCTGTACCCTTGTATTGCGACGTTTCACAAAATAAGGTAAGGCCGTACACCCCTTGCAACATCGCCAGACAGTGCTGAAACACATCCATGGATTAGCACATCCGGGAATTCGCTCTACTCGTCGATTGGTTGCCGATCGATTTGTTTGGAAAAACATGAATAAGGACATCAAGCAATTTGTTCAGAACTGTTTATCCTGCCAGCGTTCTAAGGTTCATCGACATACGAAAGCACCAATCGAAAAGATTCCCCTACCGGATAGCCGATTTCGTCATGTGCACATGGACCTAGTGGGTCCGCTGCCCCCTTCGAAGGGATATCGTTATCTGTTAACAATCATAGACCGTTATTCTCGGTGGCCGGAGGCGATTCCATTACACGATATGACCGCCGAAACAGTGGCTCGCGCATTTGTCGATACGTGGATTGCACGCTTCGGAATACCTGAGACTGTAACGACAGACCAGGGAAGGCAATTCGAGTCGGACCTTTTTCGTGAGTTATCAAGAGCGATAGGATCAAAACATGTTCGAACGACAGCTTACCATCCACAGTCAAATGGTTTGGTGGAGCGATTCCACCGAACACTCAAGGCGTCCATAATGACAGTGAGTCAAAAACATTGGACTGCTGAACTTCCTATAATCTTGCTTGGACTACGAACGGCTTATCGATCCGATTTCGGATGCTCGGTAGCAGAGTTGCTTTATGGACAGACGCTGCGTATACCCGGAGAATATTTTGAGTCAACAGACGAATATAACGATCGCACTGAATTTGCAAAACAACTGAAATCCACTATGCGCAAATGGAAGCCTGCTGACCCAAACCATCATGTCAAACCGGCTGTATTTGTAAATCACGAACTCCAAAAGTGCAGTCACGTGTTCGTGCGAATAGATGCTGTGAAGAAACCACTTGTGCAACCGTATGAAGGGCCGTACGAAGTAGCTGATCGTCACGAAAAGTTCATGGATCTTCGAATTAATGGGAAAGTTCAACGAATCTCAATCGACCGCATCAAACCGGCATTCATCTGCGATGGTCATCCACAGGACGATAAAAATACGAAAATCACACAATCAGGACACAAAGTTAGATTCCTGGTGTAACTGGGGGGGACTCTGTGGTGCTTGGTATTGCTTTCAATCAGCGCACCCCTCGTGAGCGAACAGAGAGAAAAAGAGGAAGTGTCAGAGTTGTAAAACACGTGAGACAATAAAGAGCTCCTTGAGATTGTCGATTAAAAACAACAAGTTTTATTCGTTTTATTTATTCGCGGTCCGCGTTCGCGCCCCACAGACTCAAGCAATCTCCACGTTGTTGGACCGAGTGCCTCAACGGCATATTGTTGAAGTTGGGCATGACCAGATCAAAGTGAGATTACTGCCTCTACGTGTCAATAAAGAAATCCGACGAGGTTTATCTGGTGCTGTACGTGGACTATTTCCTTATTCTCGGAAGGAACTTGGAGATAATTCTAAAATTTAAACAACGAAATTTGAAATGTCCAACTGCGGTGAAGCTAAATTTTTCTTGGGGATGAGACTGGATTATCGTCTGAATTCAGGTGAGCTCAAACTATCCCAGACGTTCAACGTGAACAAAATATTGAGCCGGTTCCGGATGACAGAGTGCAATGCTTCGAATAGTCTGATGGAAAAGGCAGTTCAACTAAACCAGGAAGGAAAGAGGACTGCAGAGCCATATCTGGAACCTAGGCGAGATCTGTGCTTCCCAATTAGTTTCCAGGGAAGATTTCAACAAAACTAGACGGATAACCATCGTTCGGTCCCTGCAGGGTACCAGTAGCATGGGACTGCTGAATCATTGGAACCGCTTGTGGGATTTGTCGATTTGTGCTTCTACAACGTTTGCCGAACACTAAGAGATGAACTAGCCTCAGGCTAAAAATCTCTAAAATAAAGAAAAAAAAAAAAAAAAAAAGTTTGCCGAACATCTACAAAGTACACTGAATTTTTACAAAATTCCCTGTACTTCGATGAAGTTTAACGAAGTTCGTTCAATACGTTTTCCTTTGCAGGATTTTGTTTATTAACTTTTTTCCACAAATAATGTACAGTGAATTAAACTTTTTTGTTGCAATAGAAATATAAACAACATAGGCGAAGGAATATACCTAACGCTATTTCAAAGTTGAAGCATGCTCTATTAATGTTCCAACATTTAAAGTATGTCTTGCCGTTCACAATTCCAAGTTCCGGATTCTTAGTTTCCCAGAGCCCGCACACTTACCGATTGTAGTCACGTCTGTTGTCTCTCATGGTGCGATTGTCCCGGTTCATTTGCCTGTCGCGATTGTCCCGGTTGTCCCGATTATCTGAGTAATCATCTGCAACGATAAGCAAAGACCGGATCTCTTCAAAACACCGCGCACCACCATTGGAAAGAGCCTTTTTGGCCACTTCGTGTGCGCAGAACACGCAGCACTCACAGCCCAACAACAAGCTTCAAGGCCCTTTCGAATGGTGGCACTTAAAAAACGTTGAAGACGGCGGCGGCAAAAAATGGAACACTACGAACACTTACCGGGTCTTTTGTTGTATTGTCTCGACGGGCTGTACCTCCGCTGAGGGGACTGTGCACGCCGTTCGCCATCCTTGTCATCGCTTCGTACCCGCCAGTTGACGGGTTCCTCCGGTTTTTTCGGTTCCGGTTGCCGCTTTTGTTCTTCGGAATGTTCTTCGGCGGTTTCCTCTTTACTGGGATCGGTTTTCTCCTTGCCGTCTTCATCGGCCGACGAGCCAGCCGCAGCCGATGCATCGGAGGCAGCTGCAGCAGCAGCTGCAGCAACCTTCTTGCGCTCTTCCCGTGCCAAGCGATGCTTTTCGGCCAACCGTTCTTCGAATTCCTTCAACCGAGCGGCAGTATCCACCGGCTTGGCATCGCCAAAGATATTGGCTGCGGGAACTGGAGTAGGTTTTGGGCGGGATTCTGCATGCTCTTCATTTTCCTTGTTCTCGGATGTTTCAGAATCGTACTTGCGTTCCTGGCTGGCATCTCTTTCCTCCGAATCATCCGGCTCGGATTCCGGTTTGGGTTTCTCCGGCAATGGCAAGGTACGTGGCTGCAGTACGAGCTTTGGTCTTTCCATTGGCGGTTCGTCATCCCGACGGCCACCGCGGTCACCGGAGAGATCACCTCCTCGTCGGAATCCACGGTCTCCGCGGTCGCCACGATCTCCACCACGGTCATAGCCTCTCCGACTGGAAGGCGGTGACTGTGGAGCAGCCTGCGCTGGGCGATCTCCAAGGCGCCAATTACCACCGGCACCACTGTCCGATGGGTAGCGTTCACGATCCTGGTCGCGATCACCACGTTCACCACCGCGATCCCGATTATAATTGCTGTTATAAGGTCTTCGCTGGCCCTGGTCACGTTCAGCGTTGATACGAGGTGCGTCACGCCAGTTGCCCATCGGACGGTCGGAGTCACCGCCATAATTGTTGTCGTACCGATTGCGTTGCTGACGCTTATTGTCACTCTCACTGGACAGGTCGATCCGAATGCGACGGCTATGGATGATCGGTTCCGGAATGGACAGCGCATCGATCAGATCCTGACGCTTGGCAAACTCAACGTAGCCGAAACCTCTTAACCGTCCGGAATCACCATCGTCCCGCGGCAGGCGCAACGAAGAAATCTCCATCTTATCGAAGAACATGTACAGATCGCTCTCGGTCAGATCGTACGGCAGATTGGAGATGTACGCCTGGAACGGCGGATTGTGCGGAACGGAGTCGTCGTTCAGCAACCGAGTGGCCCGCGGCGCAGTCGGTAGGGCAATCATCTGAGTGCGGGTCGGACGATCGTCCTCGTCGTCATCGCACTCGTCGGCCCAGTTGCGCAACTTGACCGGTACGGCGACCTGCACCTGTGATACGGCGGACGCATTTCCGTCGGTAAGGAACTCGCCGAGCGAGAGCTTGTTTTTCTTGGAAGTCTTCTTCCCTTTTTTGCCTAGAAGGGGGATTGTACGGGGAAGAAATAAAAAATTATGATTAACGTTTAATTACCTATGGGGGAAATGCGTGTTCAAACAACCGGGAAAAGGTGGCCGGTTCAATTAGGAAGTGACTTTCGGGCAAACTGGCAGCACTGGTTGCTAACGCATGCGAACTTCAATGTTTAGAAATAATGGGAAATATGATAACCAAAGTGTTTGCACTCTCCCCTAAATATCGGTCAATAAATCAATAGCTTCTGATCCCACTGCAGAAACTTGCTCAAATTCGTCGTTGTTACAGGAAAAAATACTTAGTCTCAGGCATCGAATGTTATTTGGTTTCGTTTTGCGCAGAATAGTACAAGATTGCGCAGGGATGGATCGCTCTTTTGGCACTTTTTCATAATTTTTTTTTTTATATGGAATGCTAACTTTAAATCCAATTGTATTTTCAGTTAACCCATGTTAAAATAGATAGTATAGTGCTGTTAATCTGCCTATAAAATATTAAAATTTCCGCACGATTGAGCCACACTCTGTGTTTTCCCGGAAGGTACACTTGAGAGCGCTATCGAGTGCACCTTCAGTGAAAACAGAGAGTGAGGCTCTACGGTGAGGAACTTTTGCATTTTAATAGGGCGATTAAAAGTCACTTTCAATCGAAAATCGTCGAAAAGCGACGATGAAGCTGTCAACCATCACTTTCAATTGAAAGTCAGTATTTTTTGGAATCAGCATGTCGTTTAGAGGCCGGAAATCGATACATGAAGCCATTTTGAAATTCAAGATGGCGGCTTCCGATTGAAGAAAAAGTGGGAAATACTTTCAAATACTCATCAATATAGGTATTTTTGGAATCGGGGTGACGTCTAGAGAATGAAAATCGTTATAGGGGAAAAGTTTTCTTCGGCAATACCTTAACCTATTATCGTCAGGAGGGTAAACAACGTCCTTGAGAGCTCCATTTTGACATGTGAATACATTGTGTTTCAGAGCAACTATTGGCCAAATTTGAGTGCTCTAGGACTTTGTTTACCCCCTGACGATAATAGGTTAAGGTATTGCCGAAGCCAACTTTTCCCCTACGACACCATTTTGAAATCTATGATGGCGGTTTCCGGTTTAAGAAAAGAGGGAAATTCTATCAAATACCCATACATACGTTTTTTTAGAATCAGGCTAATTTTCAGAACGAGGATGACACGTAGATGCCGAAAATCAATGTCAGACGCAAGGAATCAAAAATATCTCCAAATGACAAAATAACAAGCGATCAACGAACCGAATAATAACGCTATGTCAGAAGTGGAAAACAATAATGATATAATCTTCACCGTTCTTTTTCATTACAAGCAGCTCGTGCGACCCAACTCATTCGGGGCGGTAGAAGGAAACGAGCAAATTGTTGGCAAGCTGCTTCACGAAGTAAAGCCGAAGATGATACACGTGTGTTAATGGGAATTTTTTTGTTATGTCTTTTCCCGATTCATATCAAGCTATGTCCTCATCCGTGTATATTGCAACAAAGCAGGCAAGCAATATATCATTATCCTTCTACCATTCGGATCGAGCTTTGTTACAGAGCGAGTTTGTCATAGTAGTCGTAGCAACCGTTTTGTCTGTATCGTTGGTTGCTTTATGTGTTTGGATTCGCTGGTCAGACGCCATCTTGAATTCAAAAACGAAGACTTCTAGTTTCAGAAAAAAGTGGGAAATACTATCAAATACCCATCAATGTGAGTATATTCGAAATCCCAGTAACGTCTAGATGCCAGAAACCGATGTTTGACGCCATTTTAAAATCTAAGATGGCGGCTTTGGTACAGAAAACGTGTGAAATACTGTCAACCTGAGTACTGCGGACTCACTCAATCGTTGTCCGACGCCACCTTGAAATTCAAGATGGTTGCTTCCGATGTCAGAAGAAGTGTCAAATACCCTACATGACGTCGAATATTGGTGCCTCCCTTAGTTCAGTCGGTAAAGGCGCAGCTACAAAGCAACACCATGCTGGAGGTGGCTGGGTTCGATTCCCGGTCCGGTCTAGGAATTTTTCGGGTTGGAAAAATTCTCGACTTCCCTGGGCATAGAGTATGATTGTACTTGCCACACAATTATTATACTAATGCAAAAATGGTACAGACATCGGAAGCTCTCAATTAATAACTGTGGAAGTGCATCCAGAACACTAAGTTGAGAGTACGCAATAAGCTAATATGCGATAAGCAATAAGTTTGAAATGCGAAGAAGAAGAAGAAGACTTCGAATATCGATTTTCAGGGGGATATTTAAAACTTTTTCTGAAACCTCATGTTCGCCCTCTTGGATTCTAAAATGGCGTCGAATACCGATTTTTGGCATCTACGCGTCGTCCACGTTCCGAAAATAATCATATTATAGATTTTACCTGAGCCTGATGACCGCCATCTTGGACTCCAGAATGGCCTCGTTAATTTAATTTTCGTTTAATATAAAATAAGATTTTATTACTACATGTAATCCGGATGCCATCACTATCGACAACCGATATTGCGCGGATACTATCCGGATACTGTATGTTGCTACCTGACGACGTGACGCGTGACAAGTCGAATGAGCCCCGTATTGAAGTGAAAGTGGAAAAACGAAGGAAGCAGTTTTCGAGTCATTCATTGCGTCAATTGAAACAAGTATTTGCTTCAAATTAAATGAACTGATACACTTGACGAACTAAAATTATATTGCTCGAAAAGAAGCGATTCTGCGAAGAGTTCATTTTCTTTTCTTTGTTTCGAAAATGCAGAACCCTGCAGATGCCACACCCCCACTATAACGTCGGGCTCCTGGCCTAATGATGTGACAGCCACCAACTCCAGTTCTTTCAGTTCTCTCGCTAGTTGTAACAAGCAAGCAAGCACGTGATTGGTTGAGTATGACTTATTGGTAAATTTTTAATAGTTGGCTAGTGATGAACTACTATAGCCAAACAAATGCTTAGTTTGCTAGTGATGAACTACTATAGCCAAACAAAGCTTACATCAAATCTGAATCAAATAGTGTGATAAGAATTGAAATCCATCCATAAATGAAAAAACTTATAAGCTGACAATATTTCGTAAAAATATACTACCCATAATCGCATATCAGTCCCATATGGATAGGAAATCAAGCAAAGATGGGACTGATATGCGATTATGGGCAGTATATTTCACGTAGACTGCCGCTATTCGCATAACAGTCCCATGCTAATATGAATTCAAAGCATGGGACTGTTATGCTAATAGCGACAGTTTGACAGTAGTCAAAAAAAATCATCGTTTAAGAACATTTCAAGACATCAATTAAGGTCATAGTAAAAAGATATAAGTAAATTTAAGGATTCAGAATTGTTTATTTTTTAAGATTGTGGGATCTAACAAAAAACGAGAAGGCTAACCAAGAAAAATTCCACCATTCTGCTTCGAATAATATTTTTTTTAAATTCATCAAAAATTTAAAATATTAAATTTGTTGGACTTAAAACCAAATAACGAATCGATCTGAGGCGACCTTCTCCTATTTGCATGAACCTTTGCTTAATTGTTAGTTATGGGTAATGATTCCCATGAGCGAAAATTCGGCCATTTTGAATCTTACAAAAAAAATCAAGGTGGCGTATTCCATATTTTTCAACAAATCATAAACGTCACTTGTAGAAAAACTAACTTTTTTTTCAGAAAAAATAAACACGGTAAAAATATAAAGAAATTTTGGTTAAATTATTTTAAAACTTAAATAACTGTTAACAAAGTAGGCGTTGGATTGCTGTCTTGAACACTCCAATCAATTTTCTAGCGTTATTCCATATCAAGACACTGAAGAGAGCAGTCATACCAAGATAACTTTATCGTTAATAAAACTTGTTCATTGTTAAGTGTTGTCCTGGTTATTTCCTGTCCGCCCCATCCGCACCGTATTCCTTTAGGTTATGGGCTCGTCTACGAAGGAAGGCTCTGGAATTCCGCAGCTAAACGGATTGAACTTTGAGAACTGGCGTTTTCGCGTTCAACTCTACCTGGATGCGGCGGAAGTTTCAGAAGCGCTTACGGGGCAAGTTCCTGGTGCAACGGATGCTGGAAGAGCGAAGTTTATGCAGACAGATCGGAAAGCGAAGTCACTACTGGTCGGATTCCTTTCCGATGAATGTCTTGGCATAGTACGGGACAAGGAGACGGCTCGCGATATGTGGAAGGCACTCGAAGACACCTTCGCGAAGAAGTCTGTGGCAAGTCAGACTCTGTTACGGAAGCAACTGGCAAGACTTCGGATGAAGGAGGGTACTTCAATGCGGCATCATTTCCAGCAGTTCGACGACATCGTACGGCAGCTCAAGACCGCTGGTGCGAAATTGGAGGAGAACGATACGGTATCACAGTTATTTTTGACCCTTCCCGACAGCTACGACTCCATGGTAACAGCTTTAGAGAATATAAACGAAAAGGACCTGACGTTGGAAACCGTGAAGCAACGATTGTTGGCGGAGGAATCCAAGCGGTCTGATCGGATGGAAGATTCTTGTGAAGATAGGAGTGCAGCGTTTGTCGGAGGACGAAATAAGAAGACCAAAAAGTTTACCGGAAAATGCCATCGTTGCGGAAAGGTGGGACATATGCAAAAAGATTGCTATGTTAAGAAGCCAGAAGGTAAGGTGAATGCGGCCGTTAACAGCAAATCAGTTTCATTCATGGTGAACAAGATGCCGACGAAGACGGAACATAAGAGGTCAGTTTTCGTTGTGGATTCTGGATGCAGCGACCATCTGGTGAACACTTTGGAATGCATGCAGTCGGTGAGGAAACTCAAACAACCGTTCGTGATCGATGTAGCCAAAGATGGTGTTTCAATTATTGGAAACTACGAAGGTGAAGTTACTGGACTATCAAGAGAAGGTGTGAAGTTTGAAATGAAAAATGTGATTTTCGTGCCCGAGCTGAGAGGAAACCTGCTATCCGTGAAGAAGATGTCCCAAGCGGGAATCGACGTACTATTCACAAGC